GATACCTTACACGTTTCAATTTATGGGGGGTACCAATGGTGTCCCCACTTCAGAAGGGAAAGCCTGAACCACAGTGAGGTTCCCAGCATGACGACCCCGGAAGGAGTTAGGTCAGGGTTTGAACTGAGCAAATGATTCCATCCGCCACCATCCGCCAGTTCTGTCATTCTTCTCCCACTGCTGCCCCATGGGCAAGGCCCGCCACCCCGGGGCTCACCAGTGGTCTGAATCCATAAGTTGAAGCCCTACCCCTTGTGATGGTGTTTTTCCGGCAGGGCCTTTGGGAGGTCATCAAGGTAGTGCCCTTATAGAAGAGGCCCCAGGAAGCTTGCTTGCTCTCTCTATCTCCTGATGGATCAGCAGGAAAGAGGCCGCCTGTAAGCTGGTGAGAGAAGCTCCCAGGACCTGAGCCTTCTCACTCCTGGACCTTGTACTTCCAGCCTCCAGGATTATAGTAAGTTCTGCTTTTTCACTACAGCAGAGCAGAGTTGGACCAGGTGTGTCCAGGTGTGTGGAGGCCCAAGCTCCTGGTGGCTTCCGGTGAGCCCGGGTGAGCACGCGATGCCATCTACCTGTGTTCAGGGCCACAGTGGGATGCAGCAGCACCTTACTGGGTCCTGCTTCCGGAGAAGGGATTTTGTCACAGCCTGTGGAACATGGATGATGGGGCAGACACCCTGGACACATTTACCCTCTCCGGATCTCTGTCTAGATGGAGGATAATGACACTTAGCTCTTGGCATCAATGTGACTTCAGAGCAGAGAAGCAGGATAGTGCCTGGCGATGAGGGAGCGAATGGTGGGGTTCCCGGTAATCTCCTGAGATTTGCCATTCAGTGCCTCGCTCAGGTGTCCCCTCCCGTGGAGAGCCCACCCTGCTCCCCGCTCAGTCATCTCTGGCTTGTAGAGAGCCCTGCATCACTTGCCCACCCACCCACCTCCTGCCCAGACGCATGCAGTCTCCTGGTGCAAACAGCCTGGGGTTGTGGCAGAGGATGGAGAAACTCGCAGACCCGCTCAGGGCAGAGAGACAGGGGGAAGCTATTCCAGGGAGCAGCAGCGTTGTGCCAGTAGGTGTTGGGAGAAGCGGCACAGGTGGAGAGCAGGGACACCTGCTCATGCCCCAGGATTGTGCCCCAGCTGTCTGCTGGCTGCAAGATTCCCGAGGGGGCTGAGGGACGTCGGCTCCCTTACGGTGGCGTCATGGACGGGCCCTTCCCTCCCTGTCCCCAGAAGTGAGGTCGGGGAGCCTGGGCTGCAGCAGGGACTTCCTTCTTCTTGTCCCGTGGCCATTAGGCTTGCTGATAAGCAAGGGTTATTAATTAAAGGGATAAAGTGTGTGCTTCCAAGGGTGATTACCATTACTGTAAATCAGACTTAATGGCCACAGAAATTCATTAGGGACCCATTTCCTAACGATAACGAATTGGTTCTAGCAGATGTCAGGTGCAGCCGTGACGGTAATTCTAATGTCAGGCGCAGAGAGGAGAGGGTCTCCCTCCCCGCCTGGGTCCCTTTGGAGGAATCTGAGCACCCTGCTTGGGAACCAGCCACACACTGGTGCCAGGGTGGCCGCTAGCACAGGGCTGCTCTGAGGCAAACCCTTACCTCCTCCAGCAGCCCCGTTCCCACCCCCTCCTGTGGCCTTGCTGTTGCTTCCAGGCTCAGGGCCTGTCTTTGTTCCTGAAGCACCGAGGACAATGTGGTGCCTGTGTCCCTCCCCTCTCTGGCCCATCTTGGATCCGGGCCCAGGCTCACCTCTCCCTGTGACTGTCCAGCATCCAGCACATGGTTGGAGGTCTCAATAGTGGCAGGAGCAGTGAGAGCGAGGGATGCCCGTGAAGGTTTTGCACAAGGGGTCCGCATAGCTGAGCCCGGGCCGGGAATGGACACTCTTTCCAGTGTGGGACCGGGGGGCCTGGAGCCAACAGGGTGGTCGTGCAGGTTGCCTGGAGTCCTGGGCCCTAGGTGAGCACAGGCTGTCCCCTCTACACACACAGAAGTGCGGGCGGAGCAGGTCTGAGTCTCAGGCAAATCCCAGATGAACCACGGCATTGGGCGCTAAAGGACGCCCTGTACTGTCAGCCTGGTCTCTTCTGTGCCGTGGGCATCAGAGATTTCTGCCAGGTGCACGTGAACTGGCACATGTCTGGAACCAGCCACACATGCCTAGGGCCTGGTACACGTCCCACACGTACTCACTGTTATCACTTGATATTTTCTGGGCCCCAGCAGAAATGCCAACTCGGGGACCCAGCAGAGTAGACAGGACCTGCGCTCTGAATAGCAGAACGGGCTTTGGAGGGATGTGGTGGGGATGGGTAATGAGGGAAAGCGTGAGTGAGCTTTGAGAAGGGCTGAGCCAGGGCGTGTGGCAGGGCAGGGTGTGCGGAGCCAACAGGGAAGGAAGCACAGATGCGTTGAGCTACCCACGGTCCCAGGTGGCCTTAAGCCGTGACTTTTGCAGCCATCCAGCTGCTGGCCAGACTTCACCCCGCCAGACAGAATAATCACCCCTCTGTGACACTTGCCTGGCATCCTGCATCTGTCTGCAGCCAGGTGCTCGTGAAGTGAGTTGCACTGGATTCGGTCCTTGGGGAGGTCAGAATCCAGGCTTGGCGAGGTTGGGTGACTGTCTGCAGGGCTGCTTTCCGGACGGCCGCTGTTCGGCTCAGGGACGCCCCTCTGAGCCGGTGTTTTGTGTGGGAGCGGGACTTGTGAACGGCCGAGGCCTCCTGGGAGTGCAGTCTGGAAGCATCTGTTACCATGCAGAGGTACACACCGCCTTTGATCCTGTGAGCCCGCTGCTGGGAATCCGCCCCTCGGAAATGAAAACCCCGAGCACAAGGGCATAGGGACAGGATGTTTATGGCCACACTGTTTGCGGTAGTGAAAACCTGGAAGCAATCTGAAAGTCCGTCAGACCTGGGAAGGTTACATGAGTCATGCGTGTGTTTGGGGGGAATATCTGTCTTTTTAAAAATTGGCTTCTATGTAATTATCTGGAGGAATCTCTTTGACATACTAGGTAAAACAAACAGCTCCTGAAGTTGGCCAGTAATATGAATTCTAGATGCCATTAAACAAAAAGAAGCTCTGTCAGTGAATTATATTTAGTTGTCCATAGAAACAGAGTGGGTAGTTCAGGAGGTAGGCTGAGAGGAGGCTGGGGAGATGATGAATATATTTCTGAATTCGTTTTATTTATTTATGAGTATTATTTATTACACATGTTGTGATTGAATGCGTCTGGAAACCCCAGGAAATCATTCCTGCGTGCACTGAGCTCCTTGGCCTCTCACAGTTTCCTTTACCTCCCAGTTTACAGAGTAGCTTGCAAGCTGCCTTAGCTCAGTACCCGCAGCATGGATGGCTGTGCTCTTTGCTTAGAGGATGCAGAGGGCTTCACATAGAGCAAACACCAGCCCCACCTCTCCAAGAATGCACCGCTTGGCTGAGCAGCGATAGAATAGAGTGGCTGTGGCAGCACTAACGTCACCAGCCAAGCATGGGGATGTGACCAAGTCCAGGACGGTGCGCTGCCACTGCACAGACTGTGACATCTGTGATTACAACAGCTTAGCCCTCAGAGCCTCAGCTTCCATGCCTGGGAAACCTCCCACATCTGTGGTCACTTGCTGTGGGAGTGAAGTCGGGAGGGCTTCTGGGGGGCAGCAGCAGTGAAGCTGGGGCTCGCAGAAAAAGAGGCTTGCGGTGCCTGATGCTTCGGTGTGCTGCACACAGGTGTACTGAGCACAGGGAGTCGGGGTGTGGACGTGCAGCCTCTGGACGTAACAGTAGCCCTGGGCGTCTGGGAAGATCATTTCTTTTGCTCATCAATCTGCATGCTGGGCAGGAAGTAGCAGGGTCCTCTTGACTTCTCCATGCACCAGCTGGGGCAAGCAATTGGGATCCAGAAAGCCTCGTTCGGATGTGGGCATCCCCGTGGCTGGCAGGATGTGATTGGTCCTGTGGAGGCTCCAGCTCCACAGGGTTGTCAGCTGAGGGCTCTGTGCTTCTCCATGGCTTCTCCGTGGCTGCTTAGACTTTTTCACAGTGTGGTAGCTGGGTTCTAAGAAAAAGTATTCCAAGAAACCCAGTTGGAAACTGTATTACCTGTTAGGACTGAACTTCCGGAAATCACAGTGACTTCCTCCACCACAGCCACAGCCCACCCAGATTCCACAGATGCGCTCCTGGGCCCTTGCCCCTCTAAGGGGGAGTGTCTAAGTCATATGCAGATGTTCCTTGATTTATGATGGGGTTGATAAAACCATCCTAAGTCAAAAATATTACAAGTCAAAAATACACTTAATTCTCTTAACCTAACATTGTGACAGCCCAGTGCACTCTAGAGTACCGACTGTGCTTCCAATCCCGGGGCTGACTGGGAGCCTGTTTCAAGAGATTACCCTGCAACATGTTGCTAGCCTAGAAAAAGATCAAACTCGGAGTGCAGTTTCTATGAAACGATCGTCTCTTCTGCACCACCAAGCAGTAGAAAAATGACATGAAGGCCATCTGGCATCAGGAGAGGGCATGGGATAGAAGACAAGAGACTGGTGCAACTAATTTTGGGAAGTACTGTCTGTCACACTAGCTTACCTCCTAACAGATGCATAGTGAGCTGGGTGACAACTCGAGGTTGGGTTCACACCCATCTGGATTTATCAGAGTGGCGACAGGGTAGAGTCTAGGAGGGGCTGGGGAAATGCCCCGCTGTGAGCTCGGCAGCCCTGGCATTGCCTGGACTGATGCTCAGCAAGCGCCTAGTGTCCTTGTCCTTATCTTTGGCCATCAGCTTCCTTACACAGGGCCAGGTGAAGATAGCAGAAATCTTTTGTGCTGATCGGTAGGGCTGAAATTTCTCTAGAAAGAGCCCTATTACTATTATTATCACCATTATTGTTATTACTACTATTATTATTGCCTGATTAGGGGTTGTGCCCAGGGACTTCACAATTTCCTTAGCCCGTTTTTTATTATTTATTTTGAGACAGGTTTCCACGAAGACACTACATTGCTCGCCCTGGGCTCAAAATCGCTGCCCTCTTGCCTCAGTTCCCCACAGTGCTGGGATTCCAGGTTGGTGCTACCACTCCCAGCTCAGAAAGACCTCTCTGAGGGCAGCTGGACAAAGAAGACCATCCTCCTGCTCTCCCAAAGCAGACCCTGGCGCTGGGGCCGGGCCTGCCCTTGTGCCAAGGGTGAGCGCTGTGGCGGTGGAACACTCCAGCAGGACAGCCAGGGCCCTGGGAGCCCTTTGGAGGCAGGCCCTGCTGCTCTTCCTTCACGTCTGTCTGTTTTCCTTGTAGCTGTTTTCGGGTGTTAGAAAATTGGATTAAGCTTCAATCACATTTCCCCTAAACACAAAAGTCCAAAATTAGTAGCACATTTCCAACAGACCTCACTTAAAGCCACATCAAATTAAATAGGATCGTCTTAAAATGGGCCTTCCTGTCTATAGATGGTGTGGCGTGGATTGGAAAGGCTTATGAAGTGAGGTATGTTTGTAAATACTGGAAAGCTCAAAATTGTTTTGACCTTGTGATATTTGAACCATTTCTTGTAAATTGTATTCAACTTTGAACTGAAATCCTGTTTCATTATCAGCCCATTCGATGATATTTTGTTGTGGTTTTTTCTTTTACAAACCTTGGTGTTATCTGAACTTGCATGGCACCAAAGGATTCTGAGGGGAGAAGGCTCCTTTGAGAGCTCCTATTCAGCCCTCAGAGCCCTCTCATCTTAGAGATGGCCCAAGGAGGTAAAGTCAGAACGTTGAGGCATCTGAGCTGGGCATTGAATTCAAGGGTCCTGAAAGCAGACTCAGGAATGGCAATGAAAGCAGCCTTGGAAGGGATGTGGGCAGGCCTGTGCTCTTCCCTTACCAGCTGTGTGACCTCGGTTATATTGCTGACCTCTCTGAGCCTCAGTTTCCCCTGCCCCTGTGTCTTTATCCCAGGGTGGCTACAGGAGCTAAATGAGATCACACAAGGGAAGCACAGGGTGCAGGATGACATGGTGCCTGTCTAGGAACAAAACTGCCACAGTTCAGAGGCTTCTGAACAGTGGGCATTTACTTCTCAGGGTTCTGGAAGGTGGAGCTCAAGGCACCGGCTGGTCCAGTGCCTGGTGGGAGCTGGCTTCCTGGTTCAGGGACGGCACCTGCGTGTCGTGGAGGGTGAGGCAGCTCTCCTGGGACTGAGCCATGCAGAGACCGCGCACTTAGGGCCAAAGTCCCCTCTGTGCCTTGGCCCATGGGAAGTCTCGACTGCACTCCTCCTTCAGGACCCAATTGAACCTCACTCCCCGACGAAGCCTTTCCATCCCTGCAAACTGGAAGCAGTGGGCATGGAGTTAGGGGCTGCGGTCAGCTGCATGGAATGGAAATGTCTTCATACAAATGTCAGGGTGCTTTTCTGGGGCTCGGGCTACTTCTTTCTTTCTGCTTCATGGTTTCAGTCCATGACAACCATGAATGTTCTACTTCCGGCTTCTGAAATTAATGTTCCTTCCCAAGCCTCCACTTGAATTCTAGGAAGAAGACTGAGGAGAAGGAAGCAACAGGAAAGAAGCTGTAATCCTTTCCTAGGAATGGCCTCTGTGTCATGAGAGATCATAGGTGGCCACTCCCGTCGTGTAGGCCACCTCTGTCCTCCTCCCTTCAATGCCGATGGGCTCTGTGCCTACGTGGCCAATGGCGCATAGCGGAAGTGATGCTGTGGTTAGTCAGCTTTATGGGACTACAATGAACTACCCCGAGGCAAGTGACTTCTGGAGATGAGAGGTTTGTTTAGTTCCCCATTCCGGAGGACCTGGTCCAAGACCAAGCAGCCCCATTGCTCTGGGCCTCTGGGAAGATGTTGGGTGGGGAATGTGTGTCAGAGCAAACCGCTCACATCACAAGCCAGGAATCCCACTGTCCTTCAGCAAGTGCCCCAGAGGCCTCAGGACCCCTCCCTAGACCCCACCTCTTAAATTAGGTGCACAGTGCCTTCCAGTGGCCCCACCCAGGACCAGCCCTTAGCATGTGGCCACTGGTGGGCACCGTTTGTATTCAGACCATAGCAGAGGAGGTGCCAGTTTTGCAGTCCAGGCTTCCACTTCCTGTCTCTTGGGATCCTGGTTCTCGGGACTCAGCTGCCACGTGGGGAAGCCCAAGTCTCCCTTGGGGAGGCCCAATGTTCCTAGCCTGCAATCTCCATGCACCTGTCAGCCACATGAGTGAACCGGCCACGTGTGGTAGAGCCGAGAGTCGCCTGCCGTGCCCTGACCTCGTGCAGGCCATTGAAGGAAGGTCGTGGCCTGGCCGGATTAAGGGTTAGGCTTTGGGCTGGTTTGTTGCGGCACAAGAGATACACAGAATGTATGTCATCGCCAGAAGTGTCTACTCAGCGACCAGCACCTGCAGCAAGGAGTAGTCGCAGCAAGCACACGGATTCTCTGAGAGAAAGTCAGAGCTCTTGGCCAAGAGAAGGACGGGGCAGGCGGCTGAACAAGCCTCCTGGCTAGACGTCTGGGGACCTCCTGGGTGTGGACAGCGGCCTCTGCAAAGCTTGAGCAAGGGCCCCTCTTGCACCACTGGTGCCAACAGAGCAGCTGGGGAAATCTGCCACCAGTTCTGTGCATTTTGCTCTGGGCAATTTTCCCGATGGGTGCTCAATGAGGAGACAAAAGTTTTCTGCACGAATGGGTGTGGGCAAAGGAGCAAATAGAGATTATTCTGAATCTCTGTCATCAACCTGCTTCATACATAGGAGGGAACATTTTTAGGCTGGGAACCCCTTACGCCTCCCTGTTTTGACATTTGCAAGATGTCTTTGATTTCCCCTTTCCCTTTCACCTGTGTGCCTGCGATGTCAATCATGTTATCCTAACAGTGATTGTAGTGCAACAAAATGACATTTTGGGAAAACGTCGGAAGGCAGACATCTGGAGATGACAACAGGAACCCTTTCATTTACAAACACCTCTTAGTCGAGTTTAAATGTTGCTTTTAGTTCGCAGTGTGATATTGCACACCTGTAATCTCAACACTGTGAAGGCTGAGGCAGGAGGATAGCAGGTTCAACCCTAGCTTGGGCAACTTGGTAACTTAGTGAAGTCTGTTTCAAAATAAAAAATAAAAAGAGCTGGGGATGTAGTTAAGTGTGAAGGCCCTGGGTTCAATCCCTGGTATCGCACAAAAGGTGGCTTTTACTACATTTCATCCTTTGTTCCTCATGATATCCCTAGGAAGGGGATATAGCAGCTGTCCAGTGCAGATGACCAGGACGAACTTCCTGTTTGCATCACTGGGAGGAGTGGGCCTAGCTGTGGGCACAGGAGGAAGGCCCCAGGCCCGTGGCTTGCCCCTCTCCTCCTCTATCCCTCAACCCAGAACCTTTTCCTTCCTCTGACTCGCTCCTGTCCCTCTGCAATGCTCACGTCAGCTCAGGACCCCGCCTCAGGACACCTCTCATCACTCTTCTCTCCAAGGACGGGGAAGCCACCTTCCAGGGACCGCACAGTGCTGCCTTCCTCAGAAGCATCTCCAGAGTAGAGCAGACTCTGGGCTCCAGCACGGACTTCCAGAATCTGAACAGTGACCCCACTGCACAGCTGCCAGGCAGGGCTGGTCGTCAGAAGACCACGCTTGCACACTTGTCCTCAGGCGAAATAACAGGACGATGGCTGGTGGCACCGGGAATGCCCACCAGGTCTGAGGCCACGGGGTGCACAGCGGGTGCTCAGCAATCCTGCATTCACAATTGCAAAATGAGCAGAGCTGTCTCTGAGTACAGGACGCAATGCAGGTGTGCGGGAGAGAGCTCTGCAAGGCAGGTGCCGTGATCATTGAAGAAGCCTGTCCTGCGGCTCCAGGGAAACATTCATTTCCGGCTCCTGGAAAAAAGCAAAGAGCCAATCAAAGCTTCGATTCCGCTCTGGTGAAAATGAAAAGAAACGATGTTGCAACTTAATGAGATAAGCCTGGGACAGAAGAATTCCATTCTAAGGAGCCCTTTACAGAGCCAAGTGTCATGCTGCTCAGTGAGGCTGTTTACATTCCGGGGCCATGGGAGCCGAGAGAACAGAGACTTTCTCCAGACGGGAGGGGAAAGGTCGGCCTGAATGTAACCTCACACGAACCGGTTTGTCTCTGTTTGCTGAAGGAGCAAAAATGTCCTCGGAGAAACAGCGGCCAGGGATGCTTCCCGGGCTGTCACTGCTTGTCCCACCCAAGTCTCCCCAGAGTGTCACTGTCCGCCTCAAGGCGTGTCACCCACTGCGGATGAAGCTGCCTCTGCCTGTGGTAGGAGAGGTTTGTTCAGTGGCATCGGACAGTCACCAGCCTCAGAGACATCGCTGCATCCGAGGTTCGACTCTTCTCAAGAAACCTTGGGTCCTGGGTCCAGTTTTCCTCCTTCAGAGCTGCAGATTAAGTAAAATAAAGCTTATGACACATTCTGGTCCAAAGCCTAGTGCTCAGTGCCTCCGAGTTCCTTCCGCATGCAACTACCGGGCACTTGGAGGAATTGAGAGGCTGCCAGGAGGTGCGGGCTCATCTGTCTCATCGCTGAGCAGGGACAGTGCTGAGAACCTGACCGGTGCATGCTCACCCCTTCCTCTGTCCGTCGCTCTACTCCAAAAGTGCTTGATGAGCGTCTGTTGCACACCAGGCTCTGTTCTAGCCCTGGAGAAATAGCAGTGTGTGGAACAGATCCAAAGCACAACCGCAGAGGTACTCACTTGAAATGGCAGCAAGGGAAGCAGAAAGTAAAGCCAAACCACAGCAGCACATAACGCACAAGGTCATGACAATGCTACAATGATAAGACCAGCAGGTGAGGGCTGGAGGGCGGGCGTTCTTGTGGACAGAAGAAGCCTCCACTCTGGAAGACGACACTGGAGCAGAGCCAGGAATGGAAAGAGAGGACGGCCCCGGAGTTATCCGGGGGAAGAACATTGCAGGGAGGAGGCACGGAGAATGCAAAGGCCCTGGCCTGACGCGTGCCTGTGATGCTGGAGGAAGGGCAAAGAGGCAGTGTGCTGGGTGGGGTAGGGTGGGATGAAGCCGGACAAACTCAGCAAACATTTTCTGAGAGGCTCCTCCACCTGCAAATGGGGGTGGACAAGGGCACTTTTGACTGAGGTTTCGGGAGTCCCTCCCTGGAAGATGAGCACCTGGGGCCAGGAAGCTCTAGGTCTGATGCAGGAGCACTCTGACCTCCTGTCTCCAGGCGGGATGGGGCCCCTCAGCCAGTTCCTTCATGGATGCAGTGCTGCTTCAGCAGACGGATGGAGCCGGGCCACTTGCCCCTTCCATTCTGGTGAGCACAGCACAGCCGGGAGGGGCCGAAGATGACAGCTGCACAGACGATGTCAGAACTCCAGAACTGCAGACCTGCCCCGTCTTCTTCAGTTTTTGCAGCAGGGCAGAGCTGTGTCTTCAGCAGGAGTAACCATGTTTCCTGTTCTACAAGTGAGGAAACTGAGGCACAGGCACTTCATATGAGCTGCTCAGGTACCCAAGAGAGGAATGGATTTGCAATGCTCCAGAGCTCGGGGTCTGGCATTTTCTCCCCTGGTTTGTCCCAGGCATTGTAATACGCGTCCTCGGGCCTGAGCCTTGCTGTGCTCGTCAGCCTCCACATGCAGCCCTGCAGGCTGGGCACAGGGAAAGGTGTCGCCTGTCTCCAAGGTCCAGTAAATGGATGGGACCACAGGAGAGTGGAAACGGGGCACTGTGGGCACTGGGAGCCTGGAAGCTTCCCCTGTAGTAGCTGAGACTCGG